TCTCTCTCTCTCTCTCTCTCTCTCTCTCTCTCTCTCTCATGTTCTGTTCGGGTCCAAAGTGAAGCAAACACAGATGAAAGGAGGAACAGGAACGAGCTGCAGGTTAGCTCGCGCTCACCGTCACCTCCGTCGAAGTTTTACCTCAGTTGACCGTGACTGTGCGTCAAATTATTCACCAAAAAAAAAGGTAAGAACGCCTCATTTTAACGCCACGATTCCGTTATGACTGCTTTATAAAAGGCTGTGTTTGCAGTAGCGCACAATATAGTTTTTTATTTTAAATCATTAGAGCTAAATATTGCGATTTTACGTGTTTTGAACACGTGGTCAAACATGCTAAGAGCTGTAGTTTTTAATGTCAGCCATATTTAATATAGAATAATAAAATAAAAACGAGCAGCAGATGGACTGATCTGTTATCAGATAAAATTTAAACAAAAGTTGGGGCTGAAACTTATTATTGACATGTGTGTTTCCTCAGGTGACCTTTAAACAATCATTTCTGCCTTTTTTGTAATATCTTATTTAACACAGTTTGTCCTGGACTATGTGCACAATGAATGCATTGCAGTCTCCTCTCTTATGTAAAATGTTGTTTACATCTAAAATAAGTGTTTAATTAAAACCTCAGAAGTTTGAAGGGCTCTGGTGTTTTAGCAGGATTTGTAAACAAATTCAAAAATATCTTTATCAAAGTTTTGGCAACTTATTTGTAATTTATGGGCCTTTTTTTTGTCAAAGTCAATAAGAGAGATTACTTTAGGATTTATTTGGGCTCTATGTTGTCTGTTTTAATTCATTAGTTTCATTATTGATCAAAAAAGGAGACGTTTTGGATCTTTTGAGTTGAAATGTGTTTAAAATGATGGTGTGCTCTTGCTTTTGTTTCCCTATAAAATGCACTCCACCTTAAATTCAAATGACTTCTAAGGCGGAAGTGGAAATGAGGACGTTTTAGTCTCCCGTGTGCTGTTTTTACATATTAACCTTTTTTTTTATTTGTGAAGCCATTTGATCAGTTTCCAACATTTTATGTAACCTTTAAGGTTAGTTTCTGGTGTGTTAAACACATAAATATAACATATAAAACTACAGCAAGTGGCTAAAAACCTGTCGGATGTACAGTTTTATAATTATGTGATGATTCATTAAGGCAGTGATTTGTTACAAAATGTTTAGCGCTTCTAAATTAGCTCCTAATTATATAATAACTCTCATCACAGTTAATTGTCAGTGTTCTGACTCTATGACCCAACATGTTAAACTTCAGTAAAACTTGCAACAAACTGACCAAAGTGCTTTGAAAACAACGGAGATGTTTTCACCAGGACAACAACAGCATCTCTGAAATGTTTTAAACGGATGTAGCTTTAGCTTTTAGCTGTTTGCTCTCTTTCAGCACAGTGCTCTTATTAGAGTTTATCTTGTTATATTTGCTCAGACGTTGAAGACGTTACTCATAGCCTTAAATTTAAAGTGTACTTGTTTTTCTTACACTTTAAACTTAAAGTGGATCAGCTGTGGTTGTGATTTTTCTTGGCGTCACCTTATAAATGTCTTATATTTGAGAAATGGAACTAGTTTGATTTATTAAGCCAATGAGCCAGTTAGAATTCAAGGTTTAGTTTGGTTTACACAGATTACATTTTGTTGATAATGCCTCCACAGATGAACTCGCTGGACAAATCGTCCAAATGGCCGTCCTACGACTCGCTGCCCTCCACATCGAGCAGCCTCCCCCTCAGCGAGAACGAGCAGACGGAAGACGAAGGGGACGTCTTCTCGGAAGGAGAGGGCGACGCCGGGACAAAAAGGCCGTCCTCGGCCGACGAGGGAATCGCGCCACGTCCGGGAAACTACCTCCACGTCCCACCTCGTCCGGACCACCACGCGCGTTCGAGGTTCGATCGGCCGAAACTCCGCCCCGATAAAGAGACGTCCTCGTCGACGCCGGGGGACCTGGCGTTTGCTCAGAAAGTGAGAATCTTACGGTGAAATCGCAGTGTTTGTGTTTTTGCAAAAGATTTTGTTGTTAAAAAAAGGTGTTTTTCAGTGTGCAGGTTTGCACAGGTTCATCGGTCCTCTGCTTGAGCTTCTGCGTGGATTAAAAACTGGCAGATTTGACAAAGGTACGTTTTTTTTATGACATTATTGGTACGGATTATGCCATAATCCCCTTGCTTTAATGTTTTGGATGTTATGTGTTGATAGGTTTAACCAGTTTCCAGCAGAATGTTGCTATAGACAGATTACAGCGGATTCTTGGGATGCTTCAGAAACCTGAAATGGGGTAAGAAAATCACAATTTTAAGAATCATTAAGATTTAAGTAGACCGTTTTTTAAAAAATTCATTTAATTTAAAAACAAAACAAATGCTATACATACAACAAACAAAACACAAATAAAATGAAAGAAAGAAGAAAGAAATTCTTATTAATATCTGCCCTTTTTTTCAAAGAAAAATAAAAAATAAATAAATTCAAACAACATTAATCTTCAAATGACCTTTCTTTGCTGCAGGGAGAAATACCTTCAGAGCCTGCTGCAGATAGAGATGCTGCTCAACACCTGGTTCCCCCAGGAGAAAATGAAGCCCACAAACACACCGAAACCCACCGGTACTCCAACCCTCGTCCCACACAGGCACCAAAATCAGCTCCACATTCCTGTCAAGGTGGGCCTCTTCTTTTGTATTACCTTTTTTTATTTTAGTGTTTTAAGAAGGATTTTGAGTCTGGCGGAAGCTAAAGATAAGAACAGGGTTCCCGTGGATCCTTAAAAAGTCTTTTGAAAAAGTTAATTGAAAAATAAGGCCTTAATTAGCCTTAAAAGGTCTTAAATCAATCTTTCAGAGGTCTTAAAAATGCAACATATTGTAAATAGGATGACTGTATTTGTCTCATTAAAATAATTGGTAACATTTTTTAAATTTTATTTTTGTTTAAACAATTTACAAAATTTACCACAGCTAGTTTTACGTAAAAAAAAAACATTTAGGTAAATTTTTTTTTTATTTTATTTTTATTTTTTCCACATTTGTGTTTATGGTGAAGCTGGTCTTAAATTTCCTTTCAAGTGTCATTAAAAAGCATTAAAAAAGTCTTAGATTTAACTCGCCTTAAGCTGTAGGAACCCTGAAGAAAGAAAAGCTTTAGATACTTGTTGTCGGTTGTGATTTATTTGTTTTATTTTTTGTAACTCCAAATGAGTTGTGTAATTTCCACTAAATGTTTTGTTGCAGTTGTGATTTTTGGCTCTCTGTTAACGTTGCAGAAGAGAAAGCTGAGCTGGTCCGCCCCCGACGGGGTCCCAGCCAAGCACGTCTGCAGTGAACACGAGCGCCGCCTCGACGCCGCCTCCTCCACGCTCCTTCCTCCGTTGCCCGGAAGCCACGCGGCCGAAGCCGAGGACCAGGAGGTCACAGAAAAGACGGGGTCTCGCGAGAACCAGAAAGCTCCCGAGGTTTGTCCGGCCCCCTCGCACCGCCGCCCGGCCACGCAGGACTGCTCCGTGTCTTCGAGCGACAGCATCGCTACAACTGGCTCACCTTAACCGGCGGCGCCTGGCCCTCCTATATCACATGGAGGCACCTCAGCGTGTCAGTCAGGGTGAAGGCAGTGGGCGGGCTCGATTACATAAGCACAAAGTAAGGCTGAGCCAGTCTGTGAAGCCTGCGAGGCACATTAAAACAGAGGAGGAGGAGAAACGCAGAGACTCTTATTAACCCCCAAACATCCAGTCTGAGGTTTCATGAATATTTGCACTAAATGATTACAAGGAACAAGGATTGTTTTGTAGGAAGCTCATTTTTATTTAAGTAAATTTAAAAAAACGGTGTGAAAAACTTTACATTTGGAATCCGTTCGAGCCATGTTCAGTATTTTTTTTTATGAAGCCGTAGGATTTATTATTATCAGGATTGGTAAATAATTTTACAGGGGTTTAATCTTCCAGTTTCTTCAAGTGGGAATCGTCACGTGTATTTGTTTTTTTAATTTGAGTCTGTTGCGTTGGTTACGTAATTATCTGTAGCATTTAAAACAACAGGGCGGGTCTCTCAACAAAGCATATTTCCTCCAGAAGCCGGTGTTCTCTTAGGTGATTTTGAAGAACAGGAACTTTTAGCAAATCATTGGTTCCTTTGCCCATTTGCTCCACCTTGGTTTGCAAATCATCTGCTGATGAAAACATTTGTCACATGTACTTGTCTTTAAAAAAAAAAAAAACAAGAGAGGAACAATGTTTTTATAAAGATAAGAAGATTAAAAATGGATTCTGTCTGACTGACTAGGATGTACTGTAGAATGTGCCAAATAACCCCCCTTTTTTAATTTCCTTTTTTATTGTTTTCAGCTTATACTGTATCACACATGAGCTTTGTTTCTGTCTGCACCAAGAAAAGATTTGAAATAATTACTGAGTTTGGGGTGAAAAAGTCAGGGAGTTGTTCCTGAATGTTTTGTTTTGCTTTTGTCTTGAGCTTTTTTTGTTGAAATTCAAAATTTCAGGGTGCTTTTGCGAGTTAAAAGACAATAATACATTTAAGCACAAGTGAATTTGGATTGTTGCATCTGCACTTTGGATGAAAATGAGGAAAATGTTACACATCTGTGAACATCTGAGAGGTTGTGGTGAGAAAGTACCTGATCTTTCGGGAGTTTGAATTATTAAAGGGTAAACTTACTCCGGCACTTTGTAGGGAACACTTTCACAATTAGGAGATAATTGAGTTTTTTTCACAAGGATTTCAAAGTTTTTTTATTTTTTATTTGCCAGAATGACACCAACTTCTGTGCCTGACTTAAAAACCAAGTTGCTTTTCTAAAATTTGCATCACTATGCTAAACTGTCAAGTAATAAAAGTACCTTGGAGCTGAGAAACCATTTTTTTCCCTGAACTCATAACTTTTGTTTTAAAATATTCTTTTTCTATTTGTTTGTTTTAAATCGGGATTCATTCACGTTGAATGACAATTCATCCCTGGTATTTTGTCACCAGTCAGCCTTATTTATAATCACATAAACTTGATTGTCTGACTTCTGATTCTACAAGTGTACAATTTGTTAAACAATGAAAACAAAATGGCCGTGTGTGCCATAGAAACCCAGATGTGCATCTGATCATTACTGACTCCTGAATTATGTTATTTAATGTGGAAATTTTAAGCACAAGACAGAGTAAAATACAATTAAAATGTGGAGTTTTATTTTTGTTGTATGTGTAAAAATGATCTTGTTATATTTCTTAGTTTTAGGACATTTTTGTTGGTTTGTTTCTTTACACGTTGTTCTTACTGGAGATTGCTTGATAAATGCATATTTTTATATATTAAAAAAGCAAAATAATTTATGAAACCTGTAGTAGCTTGATTATTGAGATTCAGACTCCGAAAACTGCCTGTAGTTTTCTTCAGTGAGATGAAAAATAGGTTTTTACAGCTTTTCAGTTTTAATCGTTTAAAGATTCAATATCACAGCAGAAAAATAAGATTGTCTTTCTATAATTAAATAACCCACAACTTCAAGTTGTGGTTTCAACAAGCCACTAATAGTTGAATTTATTTTGTTATTCGTGACTCAGCCAGCAGATGGCGCAGTGTAGGTGGAGAGAGCGGTCATCACATTCCGGAACGCCAGGTGGCGCCATATTCACGTGTTTGCGGAAATGTTTATTCCCACACCAGGATGTCGTAAGGCGCTAAGTTTTAACCATAAGTGTCAAATAATAAAACTGATTTTCTCTGGCCTACAGCCTCACTCTGGATCATCTGAGGGCACAGAAAATACAGCTAAGCTAAAGTTTATTATGTGTAGAATTCCGGCGCGGAACCGAGCGGATGCGGAACGCGATTTTTGTATGTGTAGCGTCTAAGCTAACCATGCTAAGCTAAAGCGGCTAACTTCATTTTGTAATGATAAAGTGAAAAAAAAGCTAAGCTCCTGCGATCATTATGGCAGCGGGAACAGGCGCCGCTTCGGGCGCATCTCTGGAGTCCTCTCTGGACAGGAAGTTTCGAAATGTGACAAACACGATGGACTCCATTCAAGGACTATCAACGTGGTGTATAGACAACAAGAAGTACCACAGCCTCATTGTGCGCCACTGGATGAAGTGTGTGAGGAAAGGTAAGTTTTCTTTTTCACCTGTTGGAACGATAGGCTCGACTTGGTAAATATATGGCATGATTCCCTAATTCACGAACCGGTATATTTGTTAAAAACGAGTCATTTGTTCAGCCAGAAACAGTTAAAATACTCATATTTTTTGTTTACGAATTTAGACAAATTTGAGGTTGTTTATCAGACGAATTTTCACCTTATTTTTTCAAATGGATCTGAGCCTGAAATGTCATATTGTGTTGTAAACATCAGCAACACATCATAAACACATTTAAATTGTTCTCTACGTTTAGTTCCATTAATAAACTTGTGTTTTAAGTGTGGAAAAAGTACATTTCCTTGTGCATAATTTGCACAATCTTGTGTTTATTTGAAGTGACCTCCAAATAAAGACATAACAGGGGTTTTTCTCTCCACCAATAAGAACTGTTGTATGAAAAATAGTAGATGAACAGGTTGAGTTTTTCCTGTTTCTTAAATATGTGACGTTTAGATACCTTTTTATCTTCTTTCTGGTGTTCCCTCTTCAGTGGACTCCACACCTCCTCCTCCATCTCTCTTTCCTCACTCCACGTCTTTTTTTTCCTGGCAGCATCATCTCATCCTTCTACCACTGTCCCATCTCTGTCCACGTGTCCTAACCATCTCAGTCTGGTCTCTCTAGCTTTATCTCATTCAACCTGTGGTATATCATCCTGAATCATTTGTTTGACAATTATTTACCCTGAGATATGAGTTTCTCATGTTTTGAGTCGTTCATCCAGTCGTTCTTGATAACTCTGTTATCTCATTTTTATCTGGTAATTCTAGTTTATGTTGGACTTTTTTTTGACACATTGATTTTTACTTTGACCGCTTGTTTGTTCTTTGTGCAAACAGCTTTTTGAGCACAGTTTGTGCTGAACTACTTTCTTGAAGGATATATAATCCGTATAGTACAATTTACAGCTCAACTGTTTATCCAGTTAAATGCTAGTTGTTAAAAGACATCTTTTTGTCTTTTATTTCCGATGCTCAGGTCTGTTTGTAATATTAGCAGTTTGTTAAATGTCATGAAAACGGGCTCAGTTGGGTGAAAAAAACACAGAAGTAAACCCAGCAGGTGAATTAATATTTGCATTTTCATATTGGATGATTTAGGTCATTTCTTTTGTATTTAGTGTTAAAGTAAAGTGGCTAGATAGCAATTTTCTGCCTTTTTCTCAGTCTCACTATGTTATTGGAATGACCATTTATCATTTAACATTCAGTCAAACTGAACCATGCCTTCATATATTTTATCTGACATTTAAAAATCTGTAAATTTAAAGATGATTAATTTAATGTAAGGCACCTTTTTTTATCCCCATTGACCTCTGACCTCATTGAGTCACATGTTGCTCAGATTGTACAAAAACACAAGTTTCCCTTAGATCTCTGCTTTAACAATTATTTTTAAAAATGTTGTGAACATGTTCGCTGTTGGAGCTGAACAACAGCTTTGTTTTGTTTAGAAAGCGATATGCCTCATGTTATTTCTAGGGCTGTGTATTGGCAAGAATTTGGCGATACATACACAGAGGGGTCACGATACGATATATCCCGATATATTGCGATACTGTAAACAAGGCGATATATTGCGATTTTTTTTTGCCCAAAAATTCTATTACCCAGTAAATAAAAACCTCTTACAAAAAAAAAAACAACCAAAATTCATTGTCTCAGAAATTCTAATATTACATAGACGTACTTTGGATACATTTAGCTGTGTTCTGCTTTGTATGTGTTTTATTTTATTTGTTTCATATTTCTTATTTCATCCACGTTTTCAACTATTAGACATGTGCTATATGCATGCCTGCCTGCCTGCCTACCATAACGTTGGAAAAAAAAGCGCACAAGACACTTAATTTGGCTTAAAATACAGACACTGACAAATAAGTAACTGTTTGTAACCTTACCTCAGCTTAGAAGTAGGGCTGCTACGATTAATCGATGACTAATCGATTATTAAAATAATCGATGACTAATTTAATAATTGATTAATAGTTTTCTTTTTCTTTTTTTTTTTGTTCTTTACTTTGTTTTTCTCTCCAAACTGCTTTGACACCTTCCACTGCCACGTCTGCCTTTCTGTCCTTGACACACATGCACAGTAGTGGTAACTGGGGTAGGCCGTGGACGTCACAAGACATTATACAGACAGGCTCTGGTATCATGGCTACTCGGCAACGGAGCTCAAAAGTGTGGGATCATTTTAAGAAAAAGAAAGAGAAACCTGTGTAATATCTGCAGAGCAGAACTTACCTTCCACAGCAACTATTTTTAGTTAGCATATAGCTAAAATCTAACGATGGTTATATAATAGCAGCTGCATTCTGGCGTGATGAGCTGTATGTTTTATATTCAATTAACATATGATCCGATTAGTCGACCAATCGAAAAAATAATCGGTGATTAATCAATTATAAAAATAATCGTTTCTGGCAGCCCTACTTAGAAGGCAGAGGGTGTCGGTCTTTTCCGCTCAGATTCAGCTATTGGAGCATGAAGCTAATGTTTACTCACAATGCTAATGCTACCCTTACTCTCTGGCGCTCAAGAGGTAGAGGAGCCAAATGGCTGGCTCACTGCTGCCAACTAGTGGTCAGAGGCTGAACTACAACATAAAAATAAATGGCTGGCAGGGAAGTTGACATTTTAAACATTAATAAAAAATCGATACAGGGCTTTAGAATATCGATACATTATCGGGAAATGAAATATCGCGATATTTCAGTGTATCGATATTTTCTTACACCTCTAGTTATTTCTGGGTATTTTTGTGATAAATACAATTATTTTTTATACCAGGTTACGTTGTTCACACGTTTTTATTGTCGTTGATGATATTGCTTTTCTAAAACACCTGAAATGTTTCTGAACATCTGTCAGGACTAAAATGAGAGGGTTAACTCAGGACTCACTTTAGTTGCAGTCTGAGCTTGTTGTTCTGCAGACGGCCGTGTGTTGCTACTATTTTTGTCTTGTAAGATAGTTGTATCAGTTTTTCTTCTGTTGGCGACTTGATAAAAATCCCAGACGTCAATGTTTGATCAAAATGCTGCTCTTTGTTTTGATACGAGTCAAGTTATTGTTGTGCAGTAGTTCAACCTATCTGTGAAATAAAACAGCTTTAAGTCAGTCAGATGATGCTTTTAACAAAGCAAACCTTTAATTTTTAAGTTACTATGGCGTCTTTAAAACACACAAGAAGTTCTATGAAACAATAAAAGTTAATGAGCCCACTTGCCTCTCAATAACAACTCAAATTTATCACTTTACATATTAAATTATTGTTTTTAATCAATAGAAGTGTATGTACTTTGGCTTGTAGTGGCTGATAAAACCAGTGAACATGAATATTTTGTTGTAGTCAAAATAAAATTGTGAAATATTTTGATTTCTAATAAAATGTGGTCTCATTGCATTTTATTTATTTATTTGTATAGTTTTGAGATTGAAAGTTTCCTGTAAACTTGCATTGTTCAGTTGTTTAGGAGATGCATATTAACTCGTCACTCTTTTATAATTAGAATTAATTAGAATTAAATAATCATGTTGCAGATTTTTAAGCTGGCTTCACAATGTTTGGTTCTGGTTTGAGTTTTGCAGTAGTCGTGTTGGCTGAAAGGATTTTCTCACAGTTTGTAAAATGTGTACAAACGTTTCATTTTGGTATTGTTACTATTTGTTTAATTGAAAAGATATTGTGTTTACTTGCAATGTAGAATTTTACCATCCGAAATATATCATATGATGTTCTTTTCTTTAAAGTCAGCTTGTATCACCACAAAATGACGGCTTAGATTTTTACATGTATTGTTTTTAATTAGTCTTAAGGGTGTATTTGGTAAAAAGTAAGATTGGTACCATTAAAGCCCACAGAAAAGTTGAGAAATAATTGAAAAAGCTGTCATCCTCTCTGGTAATTTGGACCACCAGCCAAACGTTTATTCTTTTCTCCTCCGCAGCTAACGCCTCCCACCGGCTCAACTTGGTATACCTCGCCAACGATGTCATTCAAAACTGCAAAAGAAAGAACGCCATCGTTTACCGAACGGCTTTTGCCGACGTGCTACCAGACGCCTTCTTACTGATCAAGTAAGCAAAGCTACGGTTTGCACCGCAGCACTCCTGAAAATATGAAGACCCTGTTGTGTGTTTAAAACGCAACTGAAGCGTCAGAATTGGGCAATCCTGTCTGCATAATCTCCTGAACATCTTTAAAATTTATGTGTGAAAGCAAACTAATATTTACCTCTTTAAAGGCATATTTTTGTGAATAAAAAAACACTAATTTCCTTGACTTTTTAAAACTTTTCAGCAGTGAAGGAGACCCCAATATGATAAAATCAGTGGAGAGGATTCTGTCCATCTGGGAGGAGAGGGACATGTATTCGGGGACGCTCATTACTGAGCTTAGGAATACTTTAGCTAAAGAAGAGTCCCCTCCTGAGACACCCGTGGAGCAAAAAAGTGAGTGCTATTTTTGTTCCCGTTAACAATTTCATTCAATTTAATGTCATCATTTAAGGTTTGCTGTTGTGTCCTCTGTCTCCAGGGTTTATTTTGAAAAATGTCACAGTTCACTGCAGGGTTCGACAAGATTTATTCTTTTTTTTAGTGACAACAAAAGTTACCTGCCCGACATGAAAAGTTACCTGCCCGAAWCAAAAATGTTCAAATTTTGATAAAATAGGTAAAACGTGTACCGTATTTGTACTACAAAAATATTAACATGGTTATACAGAGGTGTATAACATGTGACATCTGATTAAACAGATGCAAACATTTTAGACTGAGTTACTAACAGTCAATTGTATTATGAAGAACATCTTCAAAAAACATTTTTAGACCTTTCCAGTGCTTCCCTTTGAGTACTGGCCTTGGGGGCGGGGCTTACAAAATCAGAATGATCAACAGCAGCAGCTTTGTTTTAAATACAATTTACAGAACATGAAAAAGTCAACAATTTGCATTAAAGTAATCGTATATAGTCTATCCCGTATCTGAAGATACATTTACGATATCTTGAACTGGAGTCTCCCTACAACTTAATGATAAATCTAATGTTATTTATACTGGTCAGAATATAATTAGAGGTATCTTAAATAGGTATTTTGCCTTGTCAAAATATATTAAGAGATATCTATTTATTTGTTTGTTTCTTTCATTCATAAAAACAAAACCACCTATGTACAGCATTAAAAAAGGTAAATCATTCTCTGAATTAAAAGGGTGCAGAGTGAAGGAAAAAAATAACATCATATTTGCCCCTTATTTTCAAAAATCAACTTCAACACACAAACAAGCTCAAGATGGAAAGTTCTCCAAATTAAAAAAAACAAGTAAATAAAATAAAATAATAAAAGAAGACATTTTATTGTTTTATCCTAAATAACTAATATGTCTAATGTAGTCATAAAACAATTTCAGATAGCTACAATATAAGTGTAGTGAAGCCAAATAAATGTTATATCTGCCTGCCATACAATGAGCTTTTGCCCGCTGCTGTTGCGCTCTCATCTTCATCATCAGAGCACAAGCCGATATTAGCAAGATGGGTTTATGACTGAATGAACGTCCACATGTTTTTTTCATCTCTGTGGGTAACAATACATAAAAAACATTTATTTTTCTCCGAAAACACGGGTGTGAAAAAAACAGTGGTTGTTAAAGCTTCGCTCTGCGCGATGTGCAGCAGGAAGGAGGGAGGAAGTTATCCCGCGACACGATGGCAAGACGAAACTTTTCTACAGCGGGCGGGGGACGTTTTGAGGATTTATTCTCTCTCTTTACGTGTTTTAAAACGCCGTATTTCTTCATTTATTTTCAGAATATTTTGAATAAATGGCCCTATAAAAAACTAAAGGAATTGTTTATCTGCCCGGTCGGGCAGGCATCGGGACACACCCACCTGCCCGAATATGGGTTTTACCTCCCCAGACAGTCGGGCAATAGGATTTATCGAACCCTGGTTCAATGCATAATAACGTATTACAAACTATTGAGGGTTACTGCTTCATGTGATTTGCTGATTTTTATGTTTTTAAAGCTCCGCTTGAGTCTAAAGCAGATCTGCGGTCCAAGATTGTGGCTGAGTTTGTGGTAAGTTATTAAATGTACCCCAGCTTTTCCTTTAACCAAACTTCTTTTTTTTTTTTTTTGCATCTTTAGACTCAAACATTGACTGTCTTTCTGCTTTAGCCGCAGGCGTTAATGGAACAACTGTCCAAGTACAAGAGATCTCTGGAGGAGGTTGATCTCAGAGAAAAACAGCTGTCTGCCATGAGGGTTGACATCTTCAGTTCGGATGCTCTCAAGAAACTCAAAGGTGCATAACTAGGTCATCTTCCCACTGTTGCGCAGTCTAACTTGGTGCAAAACTGTCTTCCCAGCTCTACTTTTTCCCGTTTTCTCGCAACCCTTTCAAATTCACACCCGCATGCTCTCAACTCTTACAGATAAAGCAGGAGGAAAGAAATTCTCCAGGGACTTTGAGGAGGGAAGCGCACAGCTGCAGGAGTTTGTGAAGTTCTTTGAGCAACAATCCAAAGTTGGTCCTCCGCTCCTGGAAGCACTCAGCAATGCAGATATCTTTTATGAAATGCAGTACAAAGAGGTCAAGATTGTCGCTAACGTGAGTATTTTAGGAATTAAATGACATTACTTTTTTAATTGTTTATAGTTTAAGCAAGGAAGTTGTAGTTTTTATAGCTCCAGAGAGATAAAAGGAGTAGTTAGATTTTTTTTTAAGTGAGTAGACAGTATCTTACCTGCAGTAGACAGCAGAGCAGCCTCTTGGTTTTTCTCCTCTGCCTGTCTCTGTTTAATGAACAATCTGGACAAATTGAGCTTGGAAAATGAGAGTTTTCAGGTTTGTGGTGTTTCTCTGAAGCCGGCCCACGAAAAGATTCTGAACTTTGTTTTCTCTCCAGGCTTACCAAACATTTGCAAACCGGGTGAACCACCTCAAACGTAAACTGGACGCCCTGAAAGCCAACCTACCAGACCTGGACGACTCGCCCATCCCCTCGCCTTCTGCAGACGCACCTTCTCCAACCGGCTCAGAGTCCCCGTTTCACGGCTTGGAGCTGGCCCATCCTGACCCAGATCTCGATGGTTCCGCCATGGATGACGATACCGAACCACCGGCCCCGAGCCCTTTGTCCTCACCGGGCGGGTCGCCCAAAGGCGCAGACGTTCTCGGAGGAAACGACAACCGCGAAGTGGAGGACATGGAGCTCTCGGATGAGGAAACGGACGGCGGTGGAATCATAGGTCAGCTCAGAGCTGCTGCAGCTGACAGACTAATTATTTATATCTGAACGTTTTCCTCACTTTTCTGTTTTTCCTGTCAGTCGAGGAGTCGATTGAACCCGAGCGCCCACCAGAGAACCCCGCTCCAGTTCCTGAAACAATTGAACCGGCAGTAGCGACAGAGCCAATTGTCCCTGAGGTCGCCCCGAGTGCAGCTGTTCCTGCAGCCGCCGTGCAAAGTGTCGACATGGACAAAATTGGCTCCATCCTCAACAGCATCAACCCAGTAACGAAGAACACAGGTGAGTTCTTGTTGCTTGTTTTCAGGGTGAAACCTCGCGGCCTTTACGTTTTAGTGTCGTTGCTGGTTTCAGCGGATCAGTGACGGTCTGGTTGTGTTTTGCAGGGCCTGTGATGGAGAGTCCTCCTGCAGCTGCACCCATTAGTTCCTTTACGAAGCCCAAACTTGCTCCTTTGATCCTACAAGACGCCAGTTCTTTAATTAATCTCCTCTCCAAGGTGGATATGAGTCCTGCAGACCTCCTCAGTGCTCTGTCCAAAGTTCAGGGTCAAAGCACTCAGAAAGGTGAAGATATGGGTTATTTTAAAGGGATCCCTGATTAGTTGTAACATCAGACTTTATTTAATAAACATTTATTTTAACTGTAAAATAAAGACTGTAAAAATACTGTAGGCTGTTTAGCTTTTATCATTTTTAAACTAAAAGTTTAAAAATATATTACACGGATGGGACCATTTCATTTACACGCAAAGCATTCTGGGTAAATGATGACGTGGATAGGTCCTCGTTGTGAGCGAGCTATATCCACCCTGAAGGTTAATCTTGGACAATATCTGATGATCGACTCTTTTAAATGAAACCAGAGAGCGTTGACAGAGAGGAGAAGGTAGAAACGACTCAGCCTGTAACTGAAAATATGGATGGAGGACAACAGAGCCGCTTCATGGAAGAAGAACCCCAGCTTAGCCTGTTAGCTTTAGCGTTAGCCCCAATGCTATATTGTCTTATATATATTAGCTCGGTGCTACACATTCTCCTCTCGTCACTGAGGTCCTCCATCCACATGACAGAGAGGGGAACACAAAAATGACTCAGCCTGTAACTGAAAATATGGATGGAGGACTTCAGTTTAGCTTGTTTGTCGCGCTAGGACCGAGCTAATACATATAAGGCAATATAGCGTCAGTGCTAGCACAAAGGCTAACAGGCTAAGCTGAGGTTCTTCTTCCATGAAGCAGCTCTGTTGTCCTCCATCAATATTTTCAGTTCCAGGCTGAGTCATTTCTACCTTCTCCTCTCTGTCAACGCTCTCTGGTTTCATTTAAAAGAGTCGATCATCAGATATTGTCCAAGATTAACCTTCAGGGTGGATATAGCTCGCTCACARCGAGGACCTATCCARGTCATCATTTACCCAGAATGCTTTGTGTGTAAATAAAGTGGCTCCATCCGTGTTAAAATATATTTTTAAAAATTCACAAAACTAAACAGCCTACAGTATTTTTACAGTCTTTATTTTATAGTTAAAATAAATGTTTATCAAATAAAGTCTAATGTTACAACTAATCAGGGATCCCTTTAATAGATTTAAATTGAAAATATTACTATAGAGTGGTTTGAACACCTTTGTATGTTTGTTTTTATTTTTAGGCGTCACTTCTCGCCTGTCACCCAATGTTGCCCCAAATTCCCTGACTGCAGACAACAACACCCCATCTCCGTTATCCACGTCATCATCAGAGGTTCCCTCTCGGAGCGCGTCTCCCTCCCTCACAGCACCTGAGCCTCCTTCATCCGGCTCTGCTGTGCAGCAAAGCGTGAGCGCTCCAGCAGCCCCCGAAACGTCGAACAAAGCTTCTGCTCTGGTCCAAGCTCTTCACAGAGACATGGACCTGGCCACAGAAACAGAACCGTCCTACTCCTCTGTGAGTTTAGAGTCTAAAATCCACAACTTCCTGCAGGGAAACCCCGTCTTTAGTTCGTTTGACTTGAAGTTTTCGACAAACCCAGCACCGGAAGGGGACACTTTCAGCCCCGTGGCTGGCGCAGACAACCAAGAAGGGACCCCAGTTAGGGACGAAGGAGGAGGGACCCCAACTCAAGACGAGATCATGGACAAGCCAGCGGTGGTCCCGTTCACGTCTGGCATAAATCCGTTAGCAGTCGGTGACATGGTCAAATCAGCTTCTGTGTTGTTTGATAACGGCACACAGCAGATTCCCAACAATCCTCCTCATCGAGCTCACTCGCTGCCGAGTGTGGCTCAGAACGGCCAGCTCTTCCACACATTCCCATACGGCAAACAGGATTTATCACAGGGTGGGATTACCGCACCTGTTGCACATTATCCTGTGCAGACAGCAGGGCCTGTACCTGGAGATGGAGCTCCAGGCATCGCCGGTGGCACACAGACAGTCGAGAGCTTTAAAGGGGGGAATGAACACGGTTGGTTTGGTGATGGTTACCCAGAGGGGAGCTCTCTGCAGCCCGGCGGCTACAACGTGCTGCCGCCTGGGGGGGCCGGAGAAAACAACACATCAGGGCTTTATCCATACCAAACAGAGAACATGCAGCAGCCACAACAGTCACTGGGGTCCATTGCAGTTCCTTCCTTCTTTAAAAGCACCCTTCCTCCTGTCCCGAAGCTTCCACCGCCTCCGTCTGGTTTTGAGCTCCCGCCGTCCTCTGGTGTTCTGATGAACCCAGAGCAGGAGCCTGTTCCCGGTGTGAACGCAGGGGGGGTGTTTGAAAACAGGGGGGACGGCAATATGAGCAGGACGGTGGTTCAGGATCATCAGCACGCGTCGTCGATGCTTCCGGACAATTTGTTCCACGAGCCACACCGCCCTCACCCAGATGACCTGCGTTACCAGGAGGACCCGAGGCATTACCACGACGAGCCTGGACCACACGATGACCATTTCTTTCACAACGAACCCTACTGCCCCCCAAACGAGCCCTATTTTAGACCGGGAAGTCCCCCGCACCCCTACCCAAGAGTTCGAGGGCACCTCACGCCCCCGCTCTCACCCTCGGGAGACCATTTCTTCTCTCATGACTACCAGCGGCACAGTCTTCCCCCTCGACCTCCAAGCTACGCTCCGAGGCGACCGCCGCCCCCCCGCGAAATCCGCCATCCTGCCCCGAGGCCTCTGCATCGCCCCCCTCATCCAGCTCTCCACCCCCACGCCAGGGGACCGCCTCGTCCACCTTTCCCTCGCTTCCAGGGCCCTGACTCGAGGTTAAGAGGCAAGCGGCCAGATCTAAGAGGGCGGGGTCCGATGTTTCCTCCAAAAAGACCCTATCTGCCACCACGGTACTGACGGACCGGCCCCACAGAGCGCACACGCTGCCCCCGTGAAGCCTCTGAAAAGGTGGAAGCAGTTACCTGACGGTGCAGATACTCGTGTGGGCATCAGAGGACAGTGAAACTGAAGGATCCACCCGAAGAAGACAGGAAGTGGAGACGGATAGAGGAAGTCCGGCTGCAGGAAAGACACGGAGACTCCGAGACGACAGCTGAGCTGAAGACAGAAGATTAAAGAAAATAAAAGGTGGATATATATACATACATATATATCACTTCTCTGTTATTTGCTCCATTATGAAGCATTGCGTTGAATATAAAATACACAACTGAGCGTCGGTTTAATTGAGGTCAGATTGAGTTTAGAGGATAAGTGCATGAATCGAACGTACATTAAATTTATTTTTTCTTCCACCAGTTCGAAAAGATTGAAAAGTTATTTTTGCTACAAGAAGTGATAGAATGTAGTCGTTGCAATGTTTCTTCTGTGATTAGTTCAATGTCGAGCAGTTTTGACTGCTTCTATATCAACAATAGTTTTTGTTAAAAAAATAATAATCCGCTCAATTTGAGTACCGTAATCTGAGTGTGTGTTCTAGATTATTTGTTGCTTTTACAATAATATATTTGGCGAAACATTTTTTTTATTGTTTCCAACCGAGATTGTATTTTTTGTGAAGCGATTTTTTTCTCCCGTCGGTTCGGCCCTCGGCGACAGCTCTGCGACTCGTTAAGTTGAAAGAAGAATGCCGCAGCTTTGGTAGTGGGGGGTGGGAGGGTGTACCGGTAATTTTTTTCCCCCACTGAGCCTTCGACGTCGACGCAGAGGAGTTTAAATCTGGAGGAGATGAAGATGTTCGTCTGCAGTTTTCATTCCTTGTACTGACTTAATAAAAATCTGAGTTTGAAACCGTGTCTTTGTTTTCTTTTCTGTGGCAAATCGCTGCCCTGAAGTCTGACTTCTTAGATTTGTTTGAATTCACTTGCTTTACTTTTAATTTATGACTTGGGGGGAGTGGTGGCGCAGAGGTTAGAGAAAGTCTTTAACCCTTCAGCTGCTCTCTGGGCGCATTAGATGGAAGCCTTCTGCACTACTTGTGTGACGGGAAAAGGGCATTAAATTAATTTTCCTATTAGCAGTATATAAGAAAATAACTAATGCCATAGTTTACATTTGAAAGTTTGATTTTTTTTATAATTTAAGGTGCAAATTATCTGTTCTATTTTAACTCGAGGTAATATAATCCATAGGAATATTTGTTTATTAGGTAGTTTTTAAGCAGGGAAATAATGTACTTCATTTGCTACTAATAATTCTATTCCTGCTCAGATATCACAATTATTTTTTCAGTTCCTAAGCAACTGTTTTGTACAAGCGTTTGCTACAAAAAAATTATTTTTTCAGCACTAATCTTCAAATTGTAATTTTCACAGAGAGGTTGCGTGTCTAGTTTACAGATCATTCTGAGCTGAAAGATGATCGTCTAATAGCAGATCAGTGTTTAATTTGACCCACGTGTAATTATGGAGTTAAATGAGTGACAGCTTACATTCATGTTGAAAAAGATTTGACATTGAAAAAAGAAACACTGAAAAATAAAACATTGTCATTGGAAAAACGCGACAGAAAAATGAAACACTGGAAAAAAAAACATTGAAAATATTTGGGTATTTTAAGGTTACAATGTCAAAATCTTTTCAATGTTTCATTTTTCAGTTTTCAATGTTTTATTTTTCAATGTTTCTCTTTTCAGTGTTTTTCTTTTTTCAATGTCAAATCTCTTTCAATATCAATGTAAGCTGTCACTCATTTAACTCCATATGTTTTTAGTATACCTGTGATGTGAAAAATGTTAAATCGTCCGTCAAACATTTTTAATCACAACTTTTTATCTGCCGTCTAGGCCAGCTCGTCTAGAAAAGGAGATTTTTCTAATAAATAAAAGGCAACTTCAAATTGTTGACCACCAAAGATGATTTATTAGTGTGATTTTAGAGTTTTATTTGAAATAAAAGGGCACCGTTAGGGTCATATTTCAAATTGATTGTCCTGAAACCTAATTAGGAGAAATTGAAAGGGCAGTTGCAAAACTAATAAAAGCTCTATCTTCTTCTTTTTCTTTTTTTTCAGATCCAAACAAGACTGAACTCGCAGTAATCCAGTAATGTAATTAAGAGTTGAGCAAACTCAGATTAATATATTTTTATGTTGGTTAAGAGAGAATTAAAGATTAATTTTAAGATTTAAAAGTGTAAATGGCCCCAATCAGGCAGATTTGTTTAATTTAGCTTCCAAAGTGTATTTCTGTAATGGAGGTGAGATGATTGGAAAAAGAAATGGGATAAAAACCAAAAGGAAACTTGAGTTTTGTGCTGCAGAAAGAGCAGAGGAGCAAACATTCTTGTCACCAGGTGTCAGCAAACCTTTTCACGAGTTTTTTTTAATTAACTTTCAATGATCAAAGTCCATAAATTTGCTGACTTGGCATTAAATCATTTAGCATACCAATTTTAAGACTCCCATTTGCTT